ATATGTCAGTAAAACAAGAATAACAGACTTTTAATGAATGTGGAAGTAGAGTTATGGGTACATGGAGTTCCTTATGTTTATTATTGTGTGAAAATTTCATACAAAAGCAAAAATTAAAGAATTCTTAAAACATCCAAAAAGAAATATGAAGACAGCAGGTGTGGTGCAAGGACAGAATTTAAAGCAAAAAATATTTGCAGAGATAGTTAATTTTTTTAAATACTGCAGTTGCTGAAGCATACACTATTTCTAATGTATCATCCATCTATCAATATAGTCATGAAATAAATATACCAAAACTTGGGAATACAGGGGATATTTTGGAAATTGATCATCCAACTAACACATTTCTCAGATCAAGTAGAATAAAGGTAGATGTAAGGCTATATTGGAATAGCACAAATAATTTATGTATCAGATATCTATAGTTTTAAACCAGAAAATGAAATTTTTTATTGATAAATTCTTAACAAAGTCGTTTATAAAAGAATTATAAATCCCTCAAATCAACATCACAGAAATACTATTACCAGACTAACTTAAAATGCAATCAACAATAGGAAAACAACAAAATATTCCAAATACCTAGAAATTAAAATACACAAACAGAATAACCTGTGGGCTAAGGAGAGCATAACAAAAGACATTACAAGTTTGAAGAAGAAAATAATGATATCACAAATCAAAAAGCTAAGGGATAGGAAATTAATACCCAAAAGGAAATTTAAACCTAAAATGTATTTATTAGGAAACTAGGAAAGGCAAGATCAATCAAGTTTTAACACAATCACATTTTTACAAATCCATTTTGAGAACATCAAAAAACTAGAGAAGAATTAAACATGTATTAAAGAGGTATGTAGAGAAACAGTAATAAAACAATGAGCTGGTTCTCTTTAAGGAATGAAAATTTCAATATGAAAACCAAAACCTAGAGAAGACACAAGGAACAACACTATTAATTCTAGAACAGAATATTGCTCCCAAAAGAAAAATTTAAGATACAAGGTAATTCTGTGGCTATTTTGAATAAGCAATTTCAAAATTGAATGCAACATGAACTTTTCTAGGAAAACACAAATGAAAATTGTCACTTGAAGGATGGAAATCAGGTCAAAGATTATTTTAAAAGCAGAATTAGAGAAGGAGGAGGGGAGAGACAAGTTCTTTAATCTAGTGCTTCACTCCTCAAATGGCTGCAACAGCCAGGGCTGCTGCTTTTGGGTCTCCCACATGGGTGCAGGAGGCCAAGCCCTTGGGCCACCTTCAACTGCTTCCAAGACAGCTGGACTGGAAGTGGAACAGCTGGGATTCAAACCGGTGTCCTTATGGGAAGCTGCAGCATTGGCTCCAAAGTTTGATAAATTCGACCATATTAAACTACAGATATTTTGTTCATCAAATGACAGTAATGACAATAAAAACACACAGTATAAACTGGGCATATATACATAGGGCAAAAGCCTACCAGAAATTAGTAGCAGGAATAGCCTTTAAAAACAACAAACAAGAATTAACTCCAAATCAGTAAGTAAAGCCTAACAAATCCCATATAAATATATTAAGGACACCAAAAGGCATTTCATAAGAGTTAGTACAAGTACTCAGTTAACATTCGAAGAGAATTTTCAACATTGTTAATGAACCAGAAAAAATATAAAGCAGGCTTCTAATATTATAAGTTTACATTTGCATTAAAAATTTGTAAACTGATAATTCTGGGGACCATGTTTAAACTAGCAGTTGAAATGCCCTCATTCCATATCAGGCACCTGAATCCAATAATGGATTCTGTTACTACAAGCCCTGAGAGGCAGCAGAGCTGGCTCAACTACATGGGATTGAATTTCTGGTCCCTGACCAAGACAGGCCATGCCACTTTGGGAGAGAACCAGCAGATGGGAGCACTCTCTTCGCATTTATCCTGTCTCTCTGCCTCTTGAATCATTTTTCAGAAAAGTGATTTTGCTACATTTCAAATTTTAATATTGTTGTGTTCCATTTTCATTTGTCATGAGAGTTTTAAAATTCTTCCTCTCTCTGACCAAAAAAAAAAAAAAAAAAAAATCTTCCTAGCAAAGGAAATAGTATGGGAAGAAGCCCCTGGCTCCTTGACTTCAGATTGGCTCAGCTCTAGCCATTACAGCCATTTGGGGACGTTGGCCACCCTACGCTGCTTTCTCAGGCTGTAAGCAGATAGCCTGATTGGAAGTGAAGCAGCCAGGACCAAAGTGGTGTCCATATGGCTGATCCCAACGGGGATCAGCCTGTTTAGCCATGGCACTAGCTCTGTGATTGAGTGAACCAATGAAGTTTTCAGGTCTGTCGGCTCATATTGATATGAGTAAATACAGAATCAATGTCATCTAAGAATCTGCCGAAAAGAAGCAGATTCTCCTTTAAGATTTATTTATTTGAATATCAGAGTGAGAACGGGGTTAGGAGATGTGACAGAAAAGAGTTCTTCCATCCACTGGTTCATCCCCAGAAGGCTCCAACATCAGGGGTTAGGCCAATCTGAAACTAGGAGCCAGGAACTTCCTCCAGGTCACCCACATGGGTGCAGGGTCCCAAGGCTTTGGGGCATCTTCAACTGCTTTCCCAGGCCACAAGCAGGGAGCTGGATGGAAAGCGTGGCTGCCAGGATTAGAACCGGGGCTCATATGGGATCCTGGCACACACAAGGTAAAGGATTTTATCCACGAGGCTACCAAGCCGGGCCCACACAGACATCTTATAGTCTGTGGCCTATTTCCTTCTGATTTATTCATGAAAACAGAGGCCTTTTAACCTAAATAGCTCCTACAGAGCAGCCCCCCTTTCTAATGTTATCCCATTAGGGATTAGAATACAACATATGGTTTGGGGAGGATATAAACACTTATGTTGAAGCAGTAGTCAACACTAAACTAAGGAAGGAGCTGGATGGGAAGTGGGGCCGCCAGGATTAGAACCAGTGCCCATATGGGATCCCGGAGCATGCAAGGCAAAGACTAGCCAGTAGGCTATCATGCTTGGCCCTGGGTGCCGGTTCTAGCCATGGTTGGTCCACTTCCCATCCAGCTCCCAGCATATGGCCTGAGAAAGCAGTCAAGGATGGGCCAAAGCCTTGGGACCCTGCACCTGCATGGGAGACTGGGAAGAAGCTTCTGGCTTAGGCTCAGCTCCAGCCGTCATGGCCACTTGGAGAATGAACCAGCAGATGGAAGACATTTCTCTCTATAAATCTGACTTTCAAATAAAAATAAATCTTTAAAAAGAAACATTTAAACAAACCAACAAAAAAGAAAGACAAGGTGCTAAAGTGAATGCCACTGAAATAGGCTTGTCCATGAGTCCCCACTGACATGCCTCCCAACTTCTACAGGGCTGTGTCCAGGAAGAGGCTGGGTAAGGAGGTTTGGATAATACCAGGGAAGAATGTGGGTTGGATCCACTAGGGTAAGGAGTGGTTGGAGAGGGAAAAATTAGGGAGGGCTCTGCGTGCTGCAGCACGGGCAGGGGAACTCACTCTACTGAATTAGAGTAATTATAACCACCCTCCGCCCCGACTCCTTGCATTTCACTCCTTTTGTGTGGAGCATTTGGAAAACTAAGCTTGATTTACTTAGCAAGCTTGTACTGTCTGTTGTGCTGTTGCTCTCTTCAGTGCCTTAGACACAGCACAAAAAAAGGCGAAGTTTATGTCCTGTGAGGTTGACAGTCTAATGAAGAAATGGAAAAACAATAACAGCAACAACAACAAATTAATATCTGGTCAGATAATACTCTACTTGCAAAAGAAATAAGGTACAAAATCAGGTAGGAAAAAGTGACCCCAAGAATACATTATTCCAGATACAGTGGTAGGGTGGGGGCTCTAAAAAGAGAGCTGCATGGATACGAGGGAGGCAGAATATTCTCAGCACAGCTGATTAAAAGGCTCAGAGCCAGGGCAACAGAAACTGCTGACAAATAAGAGTGACCATCTAAAACTAGCAACACTCCGAATACTATGACCCTTTTCATTACAACTTTACAACCTTTACACATTACAATTTTTATTACAACTTTACAATGTTTAAACATTAACACAAATAACTGAAAACAGAAATAACAATACTATGTGAACTATGTTTGAAATAAAAATTATATAATCCATAGAACGTAAACACAATTTGGGGTTTGTTATACCATGAATACTGATTTGCCATGGTGAAAACTATGTCACTAAGAGAAATCAGTTGAAGGGACTGTGAGGGCAGGAGGGACAATTAACTAACACAGGTAACCTGGACAGTTAACTCAAAAGCTTTCCTGAGGATAATGGAGGCTCAAAGACATGACGTCTGTGGGTCAGAAGACAATATGCTGATGTTTTATGACGCTTAATGATGCTGCTGGTAGCTAACAAGAGAGATTAAAGTCACAGTGTCAAATGAAAATACACACTTGAAAGTGTCTTCTCTATATTAAAGGATTTTTTGTGATATCATTGACAGAAACATTCAGTGGACTTGATATGCACAAATGTGTTACATTCAAAAAAGAAGGAAAAATACAGATAACTATTAAACAGTGTTAAATGAAAAGTTTAAAAATGTTAAACAACTTGCAGATATTAAAATTAATCACTATGGTATAAGTGAGTATTGTGTTCTTCCATTATTCAATTCACTGCCATCGTATTTATTCCAGAGAGGACAGGATTATCATTGACATAATATCATCTTCCCCATAAAGAAATCAGAAACAGCATTCCATTGTATTTCATGAGAAGACTCCTTCTAAGGCAACAACACAACTCAAATTGTTAGTATGAAAGCCCCAAGGTTCAATGAGGCTGGTGAAAATGTAGGAGTGGATGTCCCCTCAAGTGCTACCCTAGAACTCTTTTTCTAAACTAAATGTGACATTCTGATGTGGGCAGTCCTACTCACAATACGTGAAGTATCCTGTTACAAGGATTCAGTAAGGTGCAAATCACAGAGGACCTCAATGAGATTTCTCAAGTTTCTGTTCAGTGTGAATATTCTGATGCACAATGAGCACCGACTTCTGAATGAATCCTTTCCCACAAAATGTACACTTGTAAGGTTTAATTCCAGTGTGCGTTGTCTGGTGTTTATTCAAATTGGATCTGCCAGTGAAGGCCTTTCCACACTCAGCACACACATAAGGTTTCTCTCCAGTGTGTATTCGCTGATGTACTTGGAGCTGTGATTTCTTAATGAAAGATTTTGCACATATATTACACTGGTAAGGTTTCTCTCCGGTATGAATTCTATGATGTGTAATCAACTCTGACTTCTCTCTGAAGGTCTTCCCACAATCAGAACAGAGATAAGGCTTTTCTCCAGTGTGAGTTTTCTGATGTTTACTGAGATTTGACCTTCCACTAAAGGCCTTCCCACACTCAGCACACACATAGGGTTTCTCTCCTGTGTGAATTGGCTGATGTACCAGGAGCTGAGACTTGGACGTGAAGGATTTCCCACAATCACTACACTCATAAGGTTTCTCTCCAGTATGGATTCTCTGGTGAGTGACAAAGTTGGACTTGCGAATGAAGGCCCTTCCACACTCGGTGCACACGTAGGGCTTCTCTCCCGTGTGAATCTTCTGATGCACAATGAGGATTGACTTCTGGTTGAAAGCTTTCCCACATTCATGGCATTCATACTGTCTCTCTCCAGTATGAATTTTCTGGTGAATGTTAAGGTGTGATTTCTGGGTGAAGGCTTTTCCACAGGTAACACATTCATAAGGCTTCTCTCCAGTGTGGATTCTGTGATGAGTAATCAAATCTGATCTCTGGGTGAAGGCCTTCCCACACTGAGAACATACATAGGATTTCTCTCCTGTATGAGTTTTCTGATGTGTCACGAGATTTGATCTGTTTGTGAAGGCCTTCCCACACTTACTGCACACATACGGCTTTTCTCCTGTATGGATTCGCTTATGCACATGAAGCTGTGACTTGGAAGTAAAAGATTTCCCACAGTAAGCACACTTATAAGGTTTTTCACCTGTATGAATTATTTGATGTGTAATCAGGTGTGTCTTCCGGATGAAGGCCAGGCCACACTGCATGCACACGTATGACTTTTCTCCCGTGTGAATTCTGTGATGCACTGTGAGTGCTGACTTCTGGGTAAAGGCTTTCCCACAGTCACTGCACGCATAAGGTTTCTCTCCAGTGTGAATTCTCTGATGTATAATTAGCTCTGACCTGTAAGCAAATGCTTTCCCACATTCAGTACATATTGAAGATTTCTCTTTACTTTGTACTTTCTTTTGTGTAGTGAGTTTGGAATTACTTAGGACTTTCCCATATTCAGCACTTACGTTATGCCTCACTGCTGTGTGCGTTTCTTGATGCGCCTGCAGCTGTGACTTGGAAATGAAGCATTTTCCACAGTTACTACATTCATATCGCTTTTCTCCAGTATGACTTCTTTGGTGTGCAATTAATTGTGCCTTCTGGGCAAAGGCCTGTCCACATTCAATACATAAATGGGATCCCTCTCCCATATGAATTTTCTGATGTGCCTCAAGTGTGGACACTTGTAAAAATATCTTACCACAAACACCACATTCATGATGTGTCTCTCCAGTATCACTTTCCTGATAAACACTGAGATTTGAGTTTGAGAAGTCTTTCTGACATTTACAGCATTCATGGAGTTTTTCTCGAGAATGAATTTTCTGAAGTCTAAAAAGAGAAGATACTTTGAAAAAAGTCTTTCCACATTGATTGCATTTACAGGGCTTCTCTTTGATATGGGATTTTTGATGCGTAATGAATTCTGGCTTCTGTAAAAACGTTTTCCCACATTCAATACACTCATAGAATTCTTCTCCTGTACGATCTTTGAGCTGTGGCTTCTGGGTAAAGATCTTCTCAAATTCAGCAAACTCATAGAATTTTCCACTAATATGAATTTTCTCTTTTACAGAAGATGCATGTTTATAACTGCTGAGTTTTCCATACTGATGATGTTCCCAAAATTTCTCTTCTGTTGGAGTATACTCATGGTCAGTATAGGAAAAAAAATCACTTGTTCATTTTTTACATTTTTTGATGGGTTGTATCTATGTATATGTTATAGCTATCTGTCTTTATATTTACAATGACTCTTTGTAGGCATTATTTTCTTGAAACAGCAGTATGAATTACTTTTTTTTCTCTCTTTACCAGTAGCTATCCATCTGATCACAAATTTGCTGTAATACTTGTAGAATGAGATATAAGAGGTGTTTAAAAATTTATAGAAAATATCTAATATGAAAAAAATTAACCAGGGATTGCAAAAATCTTTGTACCAAAATAATTTTTCCACAACATTTTTGAAATGCCCTTGTGTAACAACAGCATCAAATTTCTAATTACTTTTCCTGTCAATCTAAGAAAGAACTTTATGAGAAATGAACTACGGGAAGATCTGAAACCCAACTTTCTCTTCTGAAAGAAGAAACAGCTGATTGGAGCTCAAAGAACATCTAACACAGGCTGGGATGGAGGCTATGCATGCTTACAACAGGTTGAGCAGAGAAAACCTAAGGTAAGGAGTAAGGCAGTTATGGATAAGAATCATTCAGAGGAAGAATTTAACAATTAGAGGAAATAATGTAGATGAACAAATGATACTCTATGGGAAAAGTAAGGCAGAGAACACATATCGCATAGTAATTTTATATAAACTAAGGATACAGATATCTCTTCTTTGAATTTTATACCATGCATGAACTGGAAAATGGCTTATGATGGGGAAGGAGACAGATATGGACAAAAGAAAAAGAGGAATTAAATTAGAAAAAAAAAAACCAAGAGAGACTTCTCATCCAGATTCATACTGAAGGGTACTAAACTTCTGATTATTATTAAACTCAAATACACGACAAAAGCAAAATAAATGAATAAAGCAGTAACAAAAGACATCAAGCATCCAGGTAACATGATCCTAATCAATGTAGCACTCCCTAAGCAACAGTAAAAAGAAATATCAATAAGAGTGATTAGTAACGTAAAGCACAGCACAGTACTGGCGAAGGTTAAGAGACAGTGATTGTAAAGCCACCAGTTGGATGAAAGGCATGGAGAATTCGGAATAGAGAAAAGCCCCATAACAGTGCCAATGAAGAAAATAAGAAAAAAGCCTGGCTAGGAATAAAGTTTTGAGGCATTCCACTGTGGGGGGGAAAAAAAAAAGTAAATAAACTATAAAGAGTGCAAATGTGCCACATGGTCATTTTCCAGTAAAGCAGATCCTCTGAAGGTATACTCCAGAATGACTGAAAGGTAGAAAAACAAAACAAAAAAATGTACAAACTTGTAGAGAATCATATTAATACTATTTTAAAGTTGCCTGTTTCTATCATGTCTGCTGACATTCATTTCTTTATCTCCCATCTACCTGGTCGCACTCACCGGAGAGACTCTGATGTGCACGCTCCCTCCACACTGCCCAGAGCTCCTGCTCTTCCTCTAACATGAAAACCTCCGGCTCTGGAACTTGATAGCCTGTTCATGAAATGATAAAGGATTACGTCCAGTTAATTTTTTCAGAGCACAATTGACAGTCTCTATCATTAATAAGGATTTCATTTTCAAAAAAGTGACCATATCTCTGGAAATACAGTAGCATAACCAAAGGAACAGAGAACCCTGAACAAATGAATGACAAAAATTCACTTTTTGAAAATGTCTCAGGGCATTCATCAACTGAAAACAGTAACACTCTTAGAGAAGCCTCCGGATAAGCAGGTCACTTTGCTTACCCACTGAGAGCAGGTGGCTGAAGGTTTCTTGCATCACATCCCAGTAGAGATTCCTCTGAGCAGGTTCCAGGTGCTGCCATTCCTCCCTGCTGAAATCTATAGCCACATCCCTGAAGGTCACTGAACCCTGCAAGGGCAAATTCCTGGTCAACGTGAACAGCTAGCTTTGGAGCATACAGGAGCACAAACATGTCCTATTAACAGTAATTATGCATTTTTAAAGATTTATTTTATGTTTATTGGAAAGTCAGATGGACAGAGAGGAGGAGAGACAGAGAGGAAAATCTTCCACCTGATGATTCACTCCCCAAGTGACCACGATGGCCAGTGCTGCGCCAATCCAAAGCCAGGAGCCAGGAACTTCCTCCAGAAACCTTTGTTAAGAGACCGTGTTAGGTACAAGGTCCCAATAAAAATAAATCTTAAATTTTTTTTTTAATTTTGGCAAATGTGAATTACAAAATTTACTATTATAATTTTTAAGCATATAGTTGAGTAGTAGTAGTAGTCCCACTGTCATACAAAAGTCTGCTCTTCATTTTCTTTTTATTTTTTTTAAAAGAGTTATTTATTTTTATTACAAAGTCAGATATACAGAGAGGAGGAGAGACAGAGAGGAAGATCTTCTGTCCAATGATTCACTTCCTAAGATCCCTTGACAGCTGGAGCTAGGCCAATCCAAAGCCAGGAGGATTTTAGAGGTCTCCCATGTGGGTGCAGGGTCCCAAGGCTTTGGGCCATCCTCGACTGCTTTCCCAGGCCACAAACAGGGAGCTGGATGGAAGTAGAGCTGCCGGGATTAGAACCTGTGCCCATATGGGATCCCGGTGTGTTCAATGCGAGGACTTTAGCCGCTACTTTATCACACCAGGCCCTGCTCTTCATTTTTAATTTAATGCCTTTAATCAGGGAATAGAATCAGCATTATAATAATGTTATATGGAATACATTTTGTATGTTTCATATTATATAAATTATCAATAACGGGAATAACATGACTTAAGCCAATATCCATAAATAAATAAAAAAATAAAGGAATGGGAAAAGATCAATTCAGAAATTAAATACAAAACTTAGGGTTACAAATTTGGAACCAACTAAAAGAAATATAAGATGATAAATAAATCTTTTAAAGATAAAAGAATTTAAGGTGCAAAACAAAGGGATGAAGGACAGCCCATATTTAGAAAAGGAATAATAAACTGATAAAAACTGTCATTACTTAACTAATACTTTTTCTGAACTCCATTGAGCAAGTGTGAACACAAATGATTAACTATTCCATTGCAAAGTGATTATTTAGCCACTGAGCTAAATAGGGCGAAGGGCCCTATTTCCTTATTCTAACACAACTGCAGCTTTATTATTGTAGACACAAGCCCAAGTCCATTCTTCATCTTCTGCATAAAAAGTATGAAGATACCCAGTCATAAAACCACAAAACAGCAACTGAGGTGGAGGCGCACCAAGATTCAGCTGGGACCCCCACTACATTGACTAAAACGTTGAAATCAAATTCGACTACTTCTTACTCATTCAATAGAAAAGGAAGACGATAAGAATGTTCACTCTATTACTGTGCGTAAGATGCTTTGTATTTTACCACACGAATAGTGTAAAAAAAAAAAAAGCACAAAGAAGTATAAAGTGTGTCCAATACCTAAGTTTTTGTGAAATTAAAAGAAAAACAATTCAGTCATAATTTATCCATGAATACAGAACTTCACACTTAGAGAAAACAAAAAATTTCCATCTATACTGGGAGACATGGGTATACAGGTGGGTGAATCAGTTTCATTTTTACCCTGGATTTCTTTTTCCTTTTTTTAATAGATTTTTATTTTTTTATTTATTCTATTTTTATTGGAAAGGCAGATATACAAAGAAGAGGAGAGACAGAGAGATTCACTCCCCAAGTAGCTGTAATGGCTGCAGCTGTGCTGATCTGAAGCCAAGAGCCTGGAGCCTCTTCCAGGTCTCCCATGTGGGTGCAGGGTCCCAAGGCTTTGGGTTGTCCCCGACTGCCTTCCCCAGTCTGTGCCACCCCCAGTTCAGAAATTCCACAAATGTAAAAAGAAACTTGCAAGAATTATAGTGATAGAAATCCAGGGTTTGGGCACAGCATGATAGCCTAAGGGTTCCAGTCCTCGTCTTGCACATGCCAAGATCCCAAATGGGCACCAGTTATAAACCCTTAGGCTACCATGCTGTGCCCAAACCCTGGATTTCTATCACTATAATTCTTGCAAGTTTCTTTTTACATTTGTGGAATTTCTGAACTGGGGGTGGCATAGACTGGGGAAGGCAATCGGGGACAACTCAAGGCCCCATCCAGCTCCCTGCTTGTGGCCTGAGAAACCAGGAGAGGATGACCCAAAGCCTTGGGACTCTGAAGTCACGTGGGAGACATAAAGGGGGTTCCTGGCTTCAGACTGGTTCATCTCCGGCCTTGTGGTCATTTGGGGAATGAACCAGTAGATTGAGGATCTTTCTGTCTCTCCTCTCTGTAAGTCTGCCTTTCCAATAAAAATAAATTTTTTAAATTATTTTTAATAAATCATTATATCATCAGAAGAAAAAAGCCATGTATAGTAGCCATAACATAAGATCAGGACACTTACAAAAAAATACTTACGAGCTGTCATTGTGCCATAATGGGGTAAGTCTCTGCAAGGGACTCCCTTGGCAATCCCATGTCTGTGATTGGACTCTGCATCCACCTCAGATTCCGTATCACCCTAGTGTCCACCCTGGGAGGCAGGAAATGACAGCTCAACACTTACATTCCTGCCATTCCTCCGGGCAGGAGACTCGGTCAAAATTTCTGGCTCTTGGCTTTAATTTGGCCCAGCTTGAGCAGTTTTAGGCAGTTGGGAAGTGAACCAGCAGATGAAAATTCTCTCCCTCTATGTTGCTCTGCTTTTCAAATAAATGAATTAAACTTTAAAATTTTTAGATCACCAGATTTTTTAAAATAAAACACAGGGATTAAAATGTTGATAGCAGGGCCTGGCAGCATGGCCTAGCAGCTAAAGTCCTTGCCTTGAGCATGCCAGGATCCCATATGGGCACCAGCTCTAATCCTGGTGGCTCTGCTTCCCATCCAACTCCCTGCTTGTGGCCCGGGAAAGCAGTCGAGGACGGCCCAAGGCTTTGGGATCCTGCACCCACATGGGAGACCCAGAGGAAATTCCTCGCTCCTGGCTCCAGATCGGAACGGCACCAGCCATTGCGTTCCCTTGGGGAGTGAATCATCAGACAGAAGATCTTCCTCTTCTGTATATCTGACTCCTCTCTGTATATCTGACTTTGTAACAAAAATAAATAAATCTTTAAAAAAAAATTAAAAAATAAAACTTCAAAAAAAATGTTGATAGCAGCAATGAGAGGCTCAATATAAGAACTCAAAGAGAACACTAAGAAAGTTTCCCAGAGAAAGAGTAGCAAATAGAAAACAGCAGGGAAACATGGAGAACAACTATCTGATAAAAAAAAATTTTCAGGGCCCGGTGGCGTGGCCTAGCAGCTAAAGTCCTCGCCTTGAACGCGCCAAGATCCCATATGGTCGCCAGTTCTAATCCTGGCAGCTCCAATTCCCATCCAGCTCCCTGCTTGTGGCCTGGGAAAGCAGTCCTGGATGGCCTAAAGCCTTGGGACCCTGCACCCGAGTGGGAGACCTGGAAGAGATTCCTGGTTCCCGGCTTCGGATCGGCACAACACCATCCATTGCGCTCACTTGGGGAGTGAATCATCGGATGGAAGATTTTCCTCTCTGTCTCTTCTCCTCTCTGTTTATCTGACTTTGTAATAAAAACAAATAAATCTTTAAAAAATATTTTTGTTCAAAAAGAATGGAAACAGAAAATATTTTATTTTGAGGAGGAGGTTAGGAGAAAAATCAAGAAGTATTTTAAAATCCTATTAAAAGGTGATTTATGACCAGGAATCTTACCTTTAGCCAAAATATCAAGATAGTGTAACGAAAAATTTTCATTCACAGTCCACTGTTATATATCTGGTATCACAACTTCTCACCCCTGCATTGCACATTTTGACAAGATTAAATTTGTTTCAGGAACAGCAAGCCTCTGGTCCAGCTACTTCCTGGTCCATCTGGCGCTGCTCTGAGGTTCCACAGAGACATCTGATCCAGGATCAATTCCCACTCCCTGCGATTGCTCACCTCCTGCAAGCTGCCACCCTCCTTAGCCAGGCCTGAGGGTAGCTGAGACGAAGTCCAACTAGCTGGCATGGCCACACTGGGTCTTAATCTTTGTTCTCTCAGGAGCTGCAAGCTCAGCGGTCATCTAGAAATTCAAGCAAAACAGCTGGGAAGAGATAAGCTGGACTTGGAAGGACGATCTGCTTCAGGCCTCTCCAGAGACACCGAGACACCTGGAAAGATGAAGGCCACATGGTCAGTCACTCGACGTTACCAGCTAATCCCTGCCTGGGCACAGGAAGCTTCAAGAAAATGACAAAACAGTAGCTCTTAAATTTGATTATGCATTCAAATCACATGAAAGGAAAGTCAGTGTCATGGAGATCAGAGTTCGACAAAATCTGCCATAGCCACTGATCATGAAAACAACATGAGGTTTGGAGGCACATCGTGGCAGATCTGAATTGTAGCTCTGTCAATTTGCAGCTGTGAAAATATAAACAACCTTCTTCAGTATCAGTTTCAAAAATGAGGATAAAATATGTATCACATAGGTTAAAAGACGTATCAGCCTTTAACATGCATTTGAATTAAAGGTTATAAAAATTTTAAGTCATCACTCAAAACAAGAAAAATATGCCAAATAACAGTTATTGCCACATGTGGCAAATACGGTATTTGTACACAGAACATTGATACACAAACGGTGCCACGTACGTTTTTAAAAAGCCTCATCTCTGTCACTACTCAGTCAGCAGACACACACCTCCGCAGGACTGAACATTTAAATATATGTACACTACAAAGAATATGGAATTGCAGGAAGATATATTTGGTATGCCACTGTGGTGAGCTTGGAGGATTGTTACAATAAGAGAAAATTCAGCAACTATAAAAATAAAGAGCAGCTGTATGATAACACCTCCTAATAATATTACAACACACCAACAATCAACATGAAAGTAGAGATACAATTTTTTTTTTTTACCATGTAATAACAGGTTAGCTTTAATTTAAAAATTTAATCTAGCGGTGGGTGTTGATGCTGCCATAAGCTGCCAGCTGGGACACCTGCATCTCTTACGGTGTCTGAGCTGGAGTTGCGGCCCTGATGCCAGTTCCAGATTCAACCAGCGGGCACCCAGGGAAGTAGCAGCTGATGGCTCAAGGACTGCCACCCACCTCAGAGCTCTGGACTTCCAAGCTTCCAGCTGCAGGCATTTGGCTGGGGAGCAAGCAGATGGGAATTCTCTGCCTTCTCCTGTTATGCCTCTCAAAATTTATGAGCTAGAATTTAAAAATATATATATATATATAGCAATCACTAGGAAAAAGTAAAAAGAATAGGGAAAATAAGTAGGACAAGTATATAAAAATTCAGACTAGGAAGCAATTGATAAGGAACCTAAAATATGCCAACTTCGCTAACAGAAAAAATACATTAAAACAATTAAATCCTGATGCCAGCGCGGTGGTACAGCAAGCTAATCCTCCGCCTTGCAAGTGCTGGGATCCTATATAGGCATTGGTTCATGTCCTGGCTGTTCCACTTCCGATCCAGTTCCCTGCTTATGGCCTGGGAAAGCAGCAGAGGATGGCCCAAAACCCTGGCACCCTGCTCCCACATGGGAGACCTGGAAGAAGCTCTGGACTTCCAAGTACCTCAGCTCTGGCCCTTGCAGTCACGTGGGGAGTAACCCAGGGAAAAAAAGAACTCTCTGTTTCTCATCTCTCTGTATCTGTAAACAATCTGCCTTTCTTTTTTTTTTTTTTTTAAAGATTTATTTTTATTATTTTTTCATTGGAAAGGCGGATATACAGAGAGGAGATACAGAGAGGAAGATCTTCCATCCGATGATTCACTCCCCAAGTGAGCCGCAACGGGTCGATACTATGCCGATCCGAAGCCAGGAGCCTCTTCCGGGTCTCCCACGCGGGTGCAGGGTCCCAAAGCTTTGGGCCGTCCTCAACTGCCTTCCCAGGCCACAGGCAGGGAGCTGGAAGGGAAGCGGGGCTGCCGGGATTAGAACCGGCGCCCATATGGGATCCCGGGCGTGCAAGGCGAGGACTTAACCACTTGCGCCACCGCGCCGGGCCCAACAATCTGCCTTTCAAATAAAGTTTTTTAAAGATAAATCTTAACAAAGTAAACCTAAGGGGCCAGGTGCAATAGCCTAGTGGCTAAATTCCTTGCTTTGAACACACAAAATCCCATATGGGCGCCGATTCCAATCCCAGCAGCTCCTTTCTCATCCAGCTCCTTGCTTGTGGTCTGGGAGGGCAGTGGAGGACGGCCCAAAGCCTTGGGACCCTGCACCCGTGTGGGAGACCCTGAAGAAGCTCCTGGCTTTGATTCAGCACAGCTCTGGCCTTTTTAGCCACTTGGGGAATGAACCCAAGATCTTCTCTCTGTCTCTCCTCCTCCCTATAGATCTGACCTTTCAATACAAATAAATAAATCTTTTTTTTTTTTTTTAAAGTAAACCAAAGTGTCCTAAGAATTGTAAAAACTAAGAAGCGACTGGGAGCCAGGAACTCAAATATCCCAAAGCATTTGAGAAAATGAGTTGTTTTTTAATTTGTTGAAGGCAGCTTGAATTGTTATAATATCCTTTGAGCTATTTAGCCAGATCTTGATTGGACCTAATAAAATACTTTTAAAATTATAAAGCAGAAACTGATGGAACAATCGCTCACATTACTTTGCCAGTATCTGCAGCCTTGCCTTCAACAGACAAAATCACCCGCAAGAATCTAGATGTCCATTAAATAAGTGCTTGCCGTTAACAGTTACATTTACAACGGATAGTAATTTTAAATGTATTAATATATGCCTAATACATGACATAAAATAAGAACACATTGTTTCTTTGTAGCATGAAAGATTAACGAAAGCATAACATGACACAGGCTATAAGGTCATTTTTCGACCTGAGTATTAGCCAGACATTAGCCAAAACAGAAAACGCACTTTTAAGTAAAGCGTCAAAAAGAACCAAAAAACTACAATTTTTATAGAATTTCGATTTAGACAATAAAAAAAAATGCCACACACCAAAGCTTTTGAATCTTTATATTTAAAAAGAGCGAAAAACGAAAGAGCTTAACTTTCAGCTCAGAAAGCTGACTGATGACAAACCCCACCGACGCCCCACGGCTGAGCATCATCTAACCCCGGCCACCATCACCAACTTCACGAACCCATGACGGACTCCACAGAATCCCCGCTCACGACCAACCAAAATCACCTCGGAAACCGCTTGACACTAAAACATGCAAATACGTACTCCGCCGCAACGAGAACCACTTGCGGACCACTTCCGCTCAGGGTCCGCTTTCCAATATCGCCCCTTCCGGACAGTAACGTTCGGAACCGTTACAAACCTCGCCCCGTTTCCCGAGGGGGCGGTGTCGCGTAGAGAACGCGGCGGTGCCCCCACGCAGCTGCTACACGCGGGGGCCGCCATCTTGGCGTTGTACCGGTCCGCAGGACGGAAATATTGAATTCCTGTTTTCCCACGGAATGCATGCGTATGGCCCTCGTGTAAGTGGAATTCCCGGGCGTGCAAGGGACTCCGTTTTCTCCCTAGGAAGGTTAATAATCGCTTTGCATCCAGCCCTCTGTGGGACACGGTTACTTGCTGGGAGATACCACAGGGGAGCGGGCCGGGGGGGAAGGGGGTTGGAAGAAACCACCAGGAGACAAAGGGAGAAACCAGATCGGTGCAGAAACCGCTGGGGAAGCTACAAGGAGCCAGTGCACAAAACACCAGCAAAGACCAAGAGTCGCTGGATCGGGCTGTGCGCTGCAGAGTGAGAGCACCTCTATAGGGAGAATCTACCCTGGAAAACAGGGGAAACAGCCGGCTAACGCTTACTGTGCAGCCCCCTCCTGGGAGACACCTCAGGGTATCCCTGACTGAAGGCTTAGTGAAGGGAATGCCCATTTTTCTTCACACACGCCTCCTCCTCACCCAAGTAAAACTACATGGACCCCAATACGAAAACAAACAGGTTTATTGTAGGCAATGTGTGATTAAAAGCACCTAAAGTAAACTTGACTATTTTTATTCACTTTTAATTAAATTATAATGAACAAAAGTGTCCGTATGTAAATGGTTACCTCAGTCCATTCTTGTCTGTTCCTTAAGTTTCTCCAGTGTGGAAATTCTGAAGCAGCTAACGTTCCCATCCCCATAGTGGTGAAAAGCTCACCTTTCCTCAGCGTTCTTCCAAATCCAGCTTACAGACTGCTGGTGTCAGCCTCTCACCTGACTGTGCTGAGGGACCCCACGCTCTATGAAAATGTTCAGTTCCCAACAGGCTGGTTAAATCCCTCTATGGGACTCACCTCAAGACCTGGGCCAGTTGGGCGTGTTGTGGATTGGAGGGTGCTTATGATGCCAGTATATCCCATGTTCAGGACAGTTCCAGATCCACTTCTTGAACAATGCCAAACCATCCCACTCACAGCTCTGTGATCCTCCAAAGGATGCAGCTGAATGTTGTTTCAGTGTAAATCCAATGACTGGATTCACATCAAGCTGTACCAGATATTCACAGCTTGCATCTTGCAAAAACAAGCTTAATGTCTATTGATATGACATCAATTGAATAGGAATAGAATAGGAAGTCTCATATTCATGCCTGAGCAATTGAATAAATTCTTTTTTTAAAATTTTATTAGTGATGATGATTACATAGTTGATCAGAGTGCGAAGGGTGAAGGTTCATGGGTAGTGGGTGAGACCCTTGTCCACATTTTCTTCTTCCCATATACGGGGGACAAGTGGATACAAGAGGAGAAGCCACGCCCAGCTTCCCAACTGCCACATTATCTCAGGGACTGGGGAACTGCCACATGATGCCATCCCAAATTCCCCATTGTGGAGCATTCTTTGAGGCTTCTGTTCATGTATTTTTGATAGTTCTGAGATGCTGCTGATATTACTGCTCCATGGATGAGGAAATCTGAGTTCGGTTGGCTATCGTAGTCTGCCTCTGAGTCCCCTTTGGCCCAGTAATTAGCTATTAAGTTTCATTGAAGTAGTTGACCAATTTGTTCTGCCCTCCATCCTCAGCAAATCAATGGGTGCTGTGACCCAGCCCAGCCCTGTCCAACATTCACTTGGCCTGTATGTACTGTAGGGAGAGCTGATACCCAATCAGAGCGATCCACAATAACCCCCATTGGACTGGCCCCCCAGCTCTGGCTCCTGTGCCTGCCGATATGTACAGTGAGCTGGTCCAATCTGGCCCACATCCCATTGGGATCTCATTAACACCACTGGACATTGAAGCCTAACTCAACCCAACTGACTGTACCTTCCAGCACACACTCATGCCAGTGGGTGCCACCATCTGTCCAGTCAAGCTTGCCTCCATTTCTGGTTCTCATGCTGACCAGTTGTGGCCCATTAGAGAGGAGCCCACAACCCCTCCACTGGACCCACTCTCTGCCCCATATCTTGCACTCTCCAGATAGTTTAGAAGTCTAGCTTGACAGAACTTGCCCCAGTCCTAGCACTTGCCAGCTGATGCTGTGGCAAAGCCCAACCTACCTGCATGAGTGATAGCCCAGCATTGGGGCCCCTACTACTCCCCTACCAGGCTCAACACCCTTTCCTGCTCTCACTTGTGTGGGTGGGTGGCTGCGACCTAGTCTGGCATAACTCATGTCAATTTGGCATTTGCTAGCAGGTGCTGTAGTCTGGCCTAGCCCTGTCTCCTCCCATTTCAGCTCACGCTGGTTGCAGCTGCCACCAACCAGGC